GCATGCTCCTCACTTGCCCCAGTCTTATTGACAAAATATTTTCCCATGGTATGTCTACCATTTGGCTTCTGGGGACCCCCACCTTTTCCTCCCAGCGCTTGAGTAGAGTRGGTCYCATAGCCAGAGATCTGTTCCTTAGCCTGTAACCTATTCTTGTAGTGTAGTGAAGGATGTTGATTCTCCTTGCTACTCTAAATTGYCCCCCTCTAATGTTCCAGGCCCATTCAMCAGGATCTACCTCTAGTTCCTCAATTGGAAGCGTTGAATTGTACACCGTAAACTCTTCCGTCTCTATCAATCTTACCTTCCGCAACCCCTGTTTAAGAATATACAGTGGCGCTTTGGATGTGCTCTCCAATTGAGACGAGGTATTGCGTGGCTGTATTATGTTGTATTTGTCTGCTACTAGCCATTCGTTCCTGTCTTTGACCGTATCCCACACTCTGTAGACCTCTTTAGGTTCTGCCTCATCTTCCCATGTGGCCCAATCCCCCTCCCACCATTGTCTTCCCCCCCTTAACAACTGTACCCAGGTTGGATGTATGGAGCCTGTGACTACACTCAGGTTGTCCTGAAGCTTATGACACCCCTTCAGAATCCTTCTCAATTCGTCAGATGTTTTCCATCTGTTGTTCTTCTCATCCCAAATGTGCCTCCTCTCTTGTGGTAGGCTCTCTTACCCTCGCTGGGAAGACCTCCTTCCACAGCTGTATTAGTTGTAGCCAATAGGCCGACTTTCTGACCCTCCCTCCTTGTATTCCCCTACTCCCCTCCCTATGGCCTATTTTGGCCCAGTTGCTACACATAATCCAGAATAGCCCCGTCATGTTGCTCGGTGTTTTATACCTGGCTATCTGTCTAATCCCATCTAATACAATTGACGTCCATGGTAACCCAGGCTGTGATATTAGTTTGACCACCCATTTCGTTTGGAGCGCTTTCAGCTGTTGACTTGGGTCAAGAATCCCCAAGCCCCCTTGCCCTTTGGGTCTAGTTACCTGTTTCCAAGCCACCTTGGCTATGAAATGCTCCTTGTTGTGTTTTGCCGTCCACAAAAAGGCTGCGGCCTTTCTTCTAAGCTGGGCTGACGTGGACTTTGGCGGGGTCCAGATGGACCCCGCATACCACATCATGGAGAAGATTGATGCGTTCAAGATCARCGCTCTCCCATATATTGAGGTGTAGACTGCCGACCAAGCACTAAGCTTTGCTAACACCTTGGCCATAATGTCCGCCGCCATTGATTGGTGTGCTCCCTCTTYTGTTATTTTGATCCCTRGATACCTGAACGGATGTTGTGGCGCCAACCATTGAAGCCCCTCTGGGCTTGTGACCGGAATCTGATTTTCTGGGTCTAGTTCTGCTAGCCACCATCCCACTGTTTTGTGCCAATTAACTTTCATCTCCGAGGCCAGCTGGAAYGCTKCCATTGCCCTTGTTAGCGCCTGAAAGGAGGAGTCTGTTGCTCTGATCAAAACAGTCAAGTCATCTGCGAACMATATCGTCGTGGGGAGTTCGACCATGTGTCCTCTCTGGTCRGRCGGTGTTATTAATCTTTCTATTGAYGGATCTTTTCTTAGAAAAGAGGCTATTGCCTCCATTATGAAGAGAAAGATRGGAGCTGCTAAAGGATCTCCCTGCCTAACTGACCTTGACATCGGATAGGTCGGAGATAAATGACCATTAACCTGGACTTGCCCTCGCGCGTCGTTGTATAGGACCCTTATCCATTTCCTAAAATTTGSCCCTACTCCCATTCTTTCCATGCACAGCTGCAAGAAAGGCCAACTGACCTGGTCATATGCCTTTTCAAAGTCGAAAAAAAGAATGGCAGCGTTAATTCTCTTGTCTCTTATATACCGGACAGATTCTGTTAGGCACATAACATTGTCTAGTATAAACCTACCCGGAATGAATCCTGTTTGATCCAAATGGAAGCTGYCTGCCGTGATCTTTGATAAACGGTTAGCTAACGCCTTGGCTACTATCTTGTGTGTGAGGGTCAACAGAGTTATAGGTCTGTAGTTCCGTATGTCCGYTGGATTTCCTTTCTTGTAAAGCAGYGTGACTATTCCCGTTGCGGGCYCATTGCCTATGCCCTCCGCCTGCCAAGCGTTCTCTAGGAATGYCAGATATTCTTCACCYAAAATTGGCCAGAATTCTAGCCAGAATTCCTTGGTCAGCCCATCCTTCCCGGGGGTTTTGTTCGGGGCCATCGTTTTTAGTGCGTTCCATAACTCCTCCTGTGACAAAGGTTCATCCAACATGGCCGCGTGTTGTTGTGATATTGTGCTTTGTAGATATTGCAGGAACTTTGATCTCGCTTCTTCCACCCTTACCCTCGGGAGCAGGTTTTCTGTAGATGTGTATAGTTTGCTATAGAAATCAAAAGCCACCCTTAACATCCCTTCCTTGTCTGCGGTGGGCCCCCCTTCCCCTTCTAGTTGCTCTATAAGGTTGTTCCTTCCTTTGGACTTTATTTTTTGGAAGAAGAATTTGGTCATTCTCTCCCCCTCCTCCCATTCCCTGACTCTAGCCCTCATTTGTAGGCCTTTCATTCTCCACCGTTGTCAGTCCGTCATCTCTTGTCTTGCCTTTTCCAGTACTCTTTCGTATAATTCGTCTCCTGGCGAGTTAATCGCCATTGCTATCTCTATTGCTCGCACCAACTCTTCTTCTCTTTCTTTCCTCTTTGCTGCCAGCTTCCTAGCCACTATTGCCGAAGCATTAGATAATGCCCAGAGCAGCTCCGGGAAT